TTTTTTTCTTTTGTTCATCTTCAACCCCTACAATTGCTCGTACTTGCGCATGCTTTGATCTGACAATGGTATACTCGTTTCTGTAGATGATCGATTAAGTGTTTTTGGTGTAGAATAATAATTATGATTTTATTACTATTATTATTATTATTATTATTATTATTATCATTATTAGTAGTAGTAGTATTTTTAGAGTAATGTTCTCCTACTCACGGTGAACACATGTTAATATGCTCACAGCTTATGTGGCATGCACACATTAGTGATGTGTTTTTTAAACATATTAACATCACCAATGTGTGCATGCCACATAAGCGGTGAACATATTAACATGTGCCCACCGTGGTAGGGGAGCATTACTGAGTATTTTTATTATAGTATTTTATTATTATTTCCTTATTTTTAGTTTGTAGGAGAATATTAACTTATATGACATTTTCTCATTTAGCAAGTTAGGGTTTTTAGTTTTGAGAGACTTATATAAAGGAATCTCATGCTTTATTGTTACTTGGTAAATTTTGAGATTGAATATGATATTGTGGTTTTGTGTGTTTTACGAGAGAGTATCTCGTGTATCCTTCCAAATTGTACGTTTCTCTATATCAGTCGGTATCAGCAGTCAATACGATTCACGATGTCGTCGGGACGACAAGATGCCGCAAACGAACGACGTGACGCAACCTTCAACGATCGGTTTCAACAGCTCAACTATCGATTTCAACAATTGGACGTGCGTTTCACGAATTGGTTTGCCGATCTTTCAACGGGGATCGAGGATTTGAGTTTGATGCTTAACAACATGATTGTTTCGGAATTGCAGGCGAACCGCGATGGGACCGTGGTCCGTTGTAATCTTGGGGGAGACAAGAGCGGACGTGGTGGACGCAGCCATATCGAGGCACCCCGACAGTGATCCCCGCCAAATGCGTTTTTTGGGCATGTGTGCAGAAATTAGGCTTGTGCATAGGGAATTTGGTTGCGAGGTTGGTCGATGGGAGGGCCCGTTTCATTTGGACATCCTCAAATTCGATGAAGAGCAAAATGACGGCCATTGTACGATGGTCCGCCCATTTTGATGAGGAGCCTCTAGTGATGAAGACATATTTATGCAACAATATGGATCCCGCGCGCGTGGGACGTCGCAGAGGTTGAGCCTTCGATTGGGAATCCGTCGTTCAGACCCGATTATCAGAGTATCTTGGTCAAAGATGTTTTTTGGAGCCGAAGCCGAGGCTCAATAACTGGTGAGCCATTTTTCGATTGTCTATCGTAAAGTCTCCCAACAATGGAATGCTTGGTTGTAGTTATGGATTTGAGCACGGTGAACAATGTGATATGTTTGGTGTTAATTCCACTGTGTGGGTTATGCGTAGTGAGGCGTGTACATGTACCTTTGCAGCAGTACAACACTTGCTCAAGCTTATGTTTCCCATCGGGGTTGTTGGGCAAACTTCATCTTTCGTGTTCAATCGGGGGAAACATCAAGTTATTCCTGTCATGGAGACGTCTTCAACGGGAACATGCCGGATTCGAAGGCGAATCCTACTCAACCGGGGGAGAATGATGCAGAATAATAAATATGATTATTATTACTATTATTATTAGCATTACTATTATTAGTAGTATTTTTATTATAGTATTTGATTATTATTTCCTTACTTCTAGTTGGTAGGAGAATATTTATTTATTTGGCATTTTCTTGTTTAGCAAGTTAGGGTTTTAAGTTTTGAGAGCCTTATATAAAGGACTCTCCTGCTTTATTGTTATTTGGTGAATTTTGAGACTGAATAAGATATTGTGAGTTTTGTGCGTTTTATGATAGAGTATCTCGTTTATCCTTCTCATTTGTAGGTCCTACATCAGTTTTCTTGTTATCGATTTTGATTGATTCTATATATGCAAAAATTTTATGGAGCCATTTAATAGATTAGGCTAGGGGTCATCTTATATGGGTTCTCAATCTGCCTAAATTATCCCTCGATTGATAGATTTAGCTAGGGGTCATCTTTTATGGGTAAAGGATTTGATGAATGAAAATGGTTTGGGTTGGAATGATTGGATGATTAAACAAGTATTTGATGTTTCAGATAATAATGCATCCTGACTATAAACTCTTTAAATCCATGGAAAGGGGACACGATTTCTGGAGCCTTGACAAGAAATGATTATTTTCAGTCTCTTCCTCCTATGCCTTTCTTATCTCTCAACAGGTGCATCAACTTGATATCCTCAAAACAGTGCTTACAGAAGAATGGTGAAGTCTGCCAAAATCCGAAGTTGGGATCTTAAAATAAAGGGCAACTCAAACACTTTCTCTGGAAGTGTTGCTCAGGTACACTGCCTGCTAAAACTAATCTCCTGAAGAAAGGATTTAATATTGATGTGATCCACACAGGCTGTGGAGAGGTTCCTGAGACAATCGAGCATATTTTTTTCCCTTGTCCAAAGGCACAAAGATTATGGGAGACAAGACCAATCAAGTGTTAGTGTTATATACTGAAAGCTTGGCTTTGGATAGTATTACACTTTTACCCTTTATGAATGAGAAACATGTTAGATTAAAAAATTTCTACGTTTTGTTGTTTTGCATTAAATAGTGTGGGTCGTCATCGGGCGAACCGAAGATCATGCTATCAGTTACTCGCGAAACAAGAATAATTGGTTCACAACCCAGATGTACATGAACACCCCATCGTGAACGGTTGTAGTGTCAACCGTACAGTTTGTCTTGACTGATTAGTTTCACTAGTACATTTATGTATTGAACAGGATCCCAGAGATGAGCAGTTCACTTTATACTGATCGTCGTAAACGAACTAGGCCTCGGTTAATTACTGTCTTAACCCGTAAGATATTAAACATGCATATATGTGTAGTACTTATTACTTTGATTCACATGGGTGATGCTTAGTGAACTGGGCCAATAGACCCGCTATCTTGGGTAATATTGCTGCATGTAGGATGTGTTGTTAGGATATTTACGGTCACCATGTGCGTTATTTTGATGATGTCCCCGGAGTGAGTTCATGAATGATTATTATGCTAAACCCTACGGGTGAATTAAATTTCGGCATAGTAATAATGTGATGAACGAGCGCTAGCTTCGGTTAAATAATAATAAATTATTTAATTCTTGATTGTAAGTAATCGAATTAATTAATGGACATTATATCTTAAACATGGGGAGATAAATCGAGTAATTATTATTGAAGTCTCAATTGTAAATTGGGTTAGAAAAAGAGAGTGCAATAATATTATGTTGGTTGCCCATTTAATTTTATTTAATTAATTAAAATAAGTGCCTTGGTCCACAAGTATTTTAATTAATTAAGGAGCCCTACTTCTAATCTCCTAAGGGTCCCTACTGTAGCTCTATATATACATCATTAAGCTCATGGGAAGAGACGTCTTATAATCTTATACGCCAATCACGCCGCCCCATATTCTCTCTTTCAATTCCCATTCAAGATTTATCTTCTTCTTGTTGTTCCACCGGTACAAGATTAAGAGGTGTTTGAGATATACAGTCGAAGATCTGTAGGTAAACCGAGACGAAATATATTTTGTCGTACAGAACTAACTGGAGTTCTGATCAAGACGTGCAACATACCCAGATGACCGTATAAATGAGAGCTTTCCAACACAGCCGAGATTGTAGCTTTTCGATGCCGCACGCGCCCTCACGCGCCGCCGCAAGCTCCCAGGACTGCAACTTAGTCTTCTTTTGTTTGCACCTGTTTGATCCAGTTTTCAATCCGATCTTGTTCGTGCAACCCTAAGAGGCCATTTGCAGTCTACTTTTCATTGGTGTGCTGTATACGACCATCCAGAAGATCCGCCAGATCGCCATAAATTTTAAGTCGTAAGTTTTCTACGCAAACCTTTAGATCCGCTGCGCATAGGTTTACGTTTGCTATTGAATTTGTGATTTGTGCATAACGAGTTCCTCATAGATCCCAACATCAAGTGGGATGGAATTTGCACTTTTAATACTTCTTTCAGTTCTTGGTGGTGGCATGTATGTTCCATAGACCGCTCAAAGGTAGCTGAAGCTAGAATTCAACTTACAACTTACATGCTATGGTGGCTATGAAAGCAATGAATTTATGGCTCTTTCAAGAAACTAATTTCCCAGTCAGAGTGGTGTTGAAGGCAGCTCACAAAGATTGGTTCGACTTTGCTGTTATGAAGTCTTCTGCATAGTGTTTCACTCATTTTTTGTTTGGTTGTATTTAGCTATGTGGCTTCTTTTGTGTTTTTCTGTGGTTGGGTGTATAGTTTTGGGAAAAAAATTGTGACCAACCTGAACTTTGGGGTCTTTTTGGATTTGCAACCTAATCTTTTATTTTTGATAAATTGCAACCTCAACTATACGTTATTGATAAATACCAACCTCGGCCACCGAAATTGGCCGAAAAATTGCTCTTTCGGGTTCAACTCGATATTGCTCGGAAATTGACCCCTTTGGTGCTGGCTTTCCACAGCCTTGGCCAGTTGGCCAATTTGCATCTCCAAATTTTTCAATTGAGCTCCCACTGTCGTAGCCAGTTGTGTCACTTGATTCTCAATCTTGTCCAACTTCTCTTCATCTCTGTTGAAATGATTTCTCGTCTCATTCTTGAAAGTTGCCAAGATATTTTCCATGTCCGTCTTCTTTTCTTCGACAATC